TGCTTGTTACAAATAAAAACAACACTCTCTTAACGACTGTGAATAGCCATCTGAGAGAATGCTGTTAAGAACTGTTTAATTATTTGCACACTGAGAACTGGTTATTTGTTCGTACTTGTCGTTTAGCTCGTGGATATTTTCCCCAAGGCCGTCCGCCATGGTTCGATATTCGACGAAAACAAATGGAATTGCCTAGAAAAAAAAAGAAAAGGCTTGTAGAGATAAGAGAATGTAGTAGAAAGGGTTTTACGTTACAAAAGGCAAATACGAGCAAATAGCAAATAGGAGAAAAAACTCTGGCAGTGAAACAGTTGTTACCTAAAAATAGTCTGGCAATTACTTGTTATTTACTAAGAACAACCCAGGCTGAGAATCGGTTTAGGACATCGTTATTTTGCTCTTTTTTCTGTGAGAAGTATAAAAAAAGGGTTAAGACAAATTTAACAGTGTGGCCTGACAGGACCATAAATTCAAATACTTAGGGACAAATCCCTAAGTTGAGCGATGCAGTTTTCTTGTTGCACAATACAATCAACTTCAGTACGTTTTCAGGCTCAAATCTCGATAAAAAAAAAAGAACACGTTTAGCCCAAGCCCCCAACTTAGACTGCGATTTTTGTATGCAAGGACGTAATACCACTACCTGCAGTTCAAACCAGGACAACTGTTGAATTTTCCAAAACTTTCTCACCTTTTCAACGAGTTTATGGCAGGAAGACTGCAGCAAAGCTGCACCATAACATGATGCCGGTGCGAGTAATGTGAAGTTATCACATAATTGGTTACAGGTGACAAAGATTTTTCTTTTGTCGGCATGCAGGTAAACAAAACCTTCATTATGAAAAACACTAATCCGAAGGTAGCGGTGTCAGTTTAAGGGGGTCTTTTAAATTCTCCAGTTACTGGTCGAGATATTATTTTCTGGGTGAGAAATCGCTAACAGAGTCAAGTACACGCTCGCGTCCCATTGTTTGCGGTATGAACCTTTGATATATGAGATATTTACCTATTCAAAATTAAAACATGTAAGCCCTGGATAGGTGGAGTATACTTTTCGACCGCTGAATTGGCAGCAAGTAAATATATCATATTAGACGTTTTGTTGTTACTATCGCTGCGTATTTTTACGAGTAAGAAGACTCAGCGGTACGATGCATTAAAATGTCCTATAAGTTATTTATTATCCAACAAGTCAAATTATTATTTCAGTGCGGGAGAATTTCGTGGATATTTATTTATGGAGAGTGCGTGACAGAAGTATGCGAAGCGGAACGGAATTGGCGCATTATCGTGTTGCTGTTTCTATTTTCTTCAATAAATGCTGAAATTTCATTGTCGTCTAACTGCTTTTCTTCGTTCGATTTATCTAATAAACTTGGATCAATATTCACCAGCCATTCCGACTCTTCGTCAGAAAAATAATTTAAATTGTCCGCCATTTTCAACTAATGAATTGGGCGCATGCGCAAGAGCGAGTTGTAGATATGATGTGAAGAAGGGCTCTCGCTCCCTCGCTCGCAAACTTTTTTTCGATTTTAGGCTTTTGAGTGCATTTGATAGTTTTAAGTGGGTTATAAACAAATGAAATGGCGACCTTTGTTGTTAAGAATAGTAGTAGAAGCGAATGATAATCTTAAAAGATTTTAAAACTATACGTCTTTTATCCGCGAATCAAAGTTTGCCCAATCTCCGAATACACTTTTGTCTCTTACAGCGTATATTTTGTATATAGCGTCAATGCTTCTATTTTTGAATGTATATAGGCAGGAAAATGATTAGTGTCCAAAAACAAAAAAAACAAACAAACAAAGGAAGTTACGCGATAGGTGCGTATTAAGTTTTCAAAAATGAAGATGAAAGATAAAAATCGCTAAATATTTTCGTATGTGTGCATATAGGCACGCGGGTCATATTTCAAAATGAAAGGAATATGCAAATTTGTCCGTGAGCGAAGAGATCTCAAGTTTCATGGAATCTGTCAATAGGAAGCAAGGCGAAAATGACCAAGAAATATTTCGGGACGACAGTTTTATTCAAAGCAGTTTTTTAATTGCTGTTTTTTTGCGAAAAACGTACGAATTTCTTACGTGTACAAAGCCCACGCGGTAAAATTCATCATTCTTAGATCGTTGTTTACTTCACGACCAGAAAATTGCATAGCGTTATGTTGAAAATTCTGAAAAACTACGATTTAACACAAAATCTTCTCTTAAACTATACTTTTTGAAAACATTGTTACTCAAAATTAATATTTACCGGACCATGGAATCGTTAAATTGTCGCTAGGCCCTGCTTGAAGTCCGAAAGTTCGGTTTCCAATTTACGTCCACAATTCGCATCGCTTTAGAGAATCGTACTGTCGTTGACTCGAGAGATTATTCTGTCATCTTTAAGACCTTGATATCCATTTTTTTCCTAGGAGAGTGTTCTATAGCATTGCTACTTTATATTCTGAGTTCCACAAGGTCTAACTCGATCGCAAAGGAACGAAAAATCCGACTTGAAAAATTTGAAGGTCGGCTGTGCGGACGCCATATTTTCAAATTTAATTTTTTAGTATAAACGCACAGAATGATGCCCCTCTAGTATCCCCTAAGGTCATCAAAATATATGCGCAAACGACGGATTCTGATTGGTTTATTGATCTCCAAACTATAGAGGAAGTGTGGGGGACAAAATTATGCTTAGTGGGAGAGGTAGGGGGGAAAGCGTTCTCGCGCGAGCCAATCGCGCGGTTCGGGCGGTTAGGGCGGTTAAGCAAAACGAAAAATTTACTTTCGCGCTGGGGATTTGATCCAACCACTCCTTCGAAACAGAGAAAGTTACTATGATTGTGGCAGTACCACAAGGCCATCTAAAAGGAACGCAACCTTTTGATAACCTTATGCTTATACGCTTATCCTTATGTCCGAGCGTCCCATCCAGCGCATAAGCTTTAATATGCTTATCGCTATGCTTACATCGCAAGTAAATACCGAACTTAATATTGCAACAGTATTTTATCGATAAACAAAACAGCACCCTTTTGAACTTTCTTTCCACAAACCTTTACAGTAAAATCTGGAACAGTGATTGTCTTACACGAACTCCTACTCAGACCATATTTTCTGTCTTTGAGGCCCAATTTAATCTTATTCCTCAAAACGTTCATTTACCAGTCCAACACTTCTTAGAACGATTCATACCCTAGTATGGAAATCAAACATCAATTTCTATTGTCGACACATAAATCACATTGGCTTATCCAATTCATGAGTTGGTTCACAGAGCCTTTAATTTCTTTGTGACTTCAATCCAATCCGTAAAAAGAAAAGAAAACCTGTCTAAACCAGTTCTCAGGAGTACAAATACCGCGTGATAGTAGTTCTCGTCTTAGGCGTTATCTGTACTCTACGAAGTGTACTTGGATAATAAACGAGAGTACTATCAGTCTATTAATTTGTTCACAGATGAACTCACATGTCTCGGTCTGATGACCACGGCGCACACATTAACAGAACAGCTTCCGGAAAAAGAAAGCGCACTGATTCTGAGTTGGCTCTCAATTTGTGACATCTAGAGTTTTATTTCATGATCAATTTTCTTTTGTTGATGCGCGTTATTGAGCGATGAAGGTAATCTGCTGAATTTTTTCTGTAGAATTTGTGTAGCAGCCCGTTCTATAAGCGCTTGACACCTTTTAGTGCTGTGGGCTTACAACAAACATCGTGTACGTCTTCAAGTAAGAGGACTGTACAAGACATTATACTTTCCTAGGCTTTCTCTGCAAAAGACAGTATTCTGCTTTCCTGGAAAACCTAAGACAATTGGTGTAGTTACGAGTTTTTTGAATTGCACGCCTGCGATTCTCATCCCCGGTTTTCCCGCGACTCCATTAAGAATACCTGGGAAGACGAGGCTGTTGGGAAATTTTTTACTTGAAATACTATTGCATCATGTCTTCGACAGCTTTTGCAAGCTGACACTTACAATTTTTACGTTGCAATTAACTCCCATAAAAGGTTTTTTCTCATTTATCTTGGTTAGTTTGTTGTAAACTATATTACCTGAACGGGAGGATATATTTTTGCTGTGTAATGGTAACAAAATTGACCTCCTGTTTTCATACATACGTATACATACATACATACATATATATACATACATATACATACATACATACATACATACACAGGTTAATTGACCACTCCCCATACGGGCTTTTCAGGGCCAATGCCAAGCAACACCCACCCATCCCACCCAGGGGAGAACATCCACCACACAGTTATCTCGTGGGTGGGAAATTAACGTCTCCTACCCCTAACCCTGGTTGGAATAGCTTGAACCAATTACTTTCCAAAACTAAGTTGTAAGCAATAAGTTGCAGCCATAGCAGCTGTCGATTTTGATACCATACGCCAGTTTATCCGCCATTTGCTATGGATTTACAGATGGTACAAATGTTTAAGCAATGATTATTTGGCGACTCGACGATGCACTGATAAAGGGGCTGCTACGTCTGGCCGAGCCAAGTTTAATCTGTTGCAGTGGTAGATCTAAAGATTGCGTCTTTTTCATCTCTCACACGAAGATTGTGATGGTGAGGGAAGGGAAAAAGGTGACCAGCAACTGGAGATATGGATATGAGATTCGAGTGGAGATTTGAAACGAACGGGTGAATAAAGCGGTAGAGTGGATAGAATGCAGAAAAGAGGGCTTGGATGAAAATCGGGTGACGTGGTAGACACACATTGAGTCCTAAGTTAAGTAGGAGTGTGCCGTTCAAGTAGCAAGTTTTTTCTAGGGCAGTCTAGACGTTATAAGATATCTATCTAGCCTGGACCTCTATTCCAGTCTGGGCTTATTAGTTTACCTTACATCGAGAAATGTCCATCTTATCACACTTAAAAAAGGAAAAATAGAACTGGAGCAAAAAAATCCATTTTATTCAATTATCTACTCTATATACATTTAGGCTAGTCATAATAGCCGTTTGATATTAGAAAAACAGTTACCCTCCGATAACCGTGACCAACGACAAACTTTTAGCCTTCAATCGAGGTTTCTACAAGTAACTTGAAATGGAATGGAAGAATAGCTTAGTATCGATTCAGGGTAAAACCACAGTTAAGCAAACGCTGACATAAATTTATATCCAGTGGTTTTATTCGGGAAAGTTCATGTTTATTGTACCATGATGTATCCCATGGCTTTGATGCCTTTTATTCCATTATCTGAATTGAAGATGGCTTCGTTACCACACGTGTTCGAGTGACTAGGTCTCCCTCCTGTGCCAAATCCGATTCTTGAGTCGCACGATGAACAGTCGTTCTGGTCGTTACTAACAATACCAATTCTTGCTTTAGAACTTTCAAGCCCAGTACAAACGGCATTGAACCCTTCCTTGTTGCAGTTGTGCTGTAAGGAGGATCGTGCACCAATCAGCTCTTTCCACTTGTAACGACCCACTGAGGTGGCGCGGAATTTCCCATCGGCGATCAATGAATAAAGAGAGTCGGCCTGCTTGTTGAGGACAATAAAATAGATCTCACTGTCGAACTTCATACCGAGACAGATCTTGGTGAACGACGTGTTCCAGTAGGTGGGTAGCTTTGTTTCCTCCGTATCAAATCCAGTCTTCCCCCCGGAAAGGTTGTATTCTTCGTGATCACTCCAGTAACGCGCTTCATAGTGAAAGGTTGTCTGAAAAAGAGTAAGTCATTCTTTCATTTAATTTCTCTCAAGATATTTGTCACTTCAATAAACCCTCTACAATTTTTAAATGTCATTTTCAAGGAAAAGATATGGTTAGTTTTACCTGATGTATCCACTGAATTAATTCCTGCTATTTCTATACTTATCATCATAAATTATCATTATCATCATCATTACCATCATTCGATAACATTTAGTCTCATCTAAAGAAAGCCAATTCTTTTTTTGTTGTTGCTGCTGTTGTTGTAGACTCGTCATCTCAGCCTGTTTAATTTTTTTTCCACAAAGTCAGCAATTCATATATGTATTTTTAATAAAAAAATTTAGATAGTAACATCCGTCAGAAGTCTATTTCTAGATCTATTTCTAGATCTATTTCTAGATCTTTGACAGATCTATCGATTCGTAAGTTTCTATGATCTTCGTGAAAATATGCACCTGATTGCCGTTAATCTTCATAACAGGTGTCCATCCTCCACCTCCACATCCAAAATCTCCCATCTGACAGAGAACGGAGACTGGTTTGGAATCCAGACGGAGAGTAACCAGTTGACTGATATCAGATCTATTGAAAACAATGAATAGCTTGAGTGGCATATAAAACATATCTTATAAATTTAATCAATTTTGACGACTCAATACAGTAACAGTCTAAAGTAAATGAACGGATCGTTTGGTTGCTTATGCAAAAATATTTTTGTGTTGACGATATATCAGCCTTCCACAGGTGTTTTTAACTCATGCTGTTGCCTCACAACTTGCTTAACCACTCTGCAACACATGAAGGATAACGCGAAGACAGTTGTATTATTTAAAAAAGTTCACGTATTATAGTTTTTTTTTTATCATGTACGCCCTCAAAGCTGAGCTGAAGTAAAAGAAAACTTACAGTAACACAAAGCTCTGCGAAGATACAGGTGAGGGAGCCTCTAATAGTAATGTGACATCATTGGCATGGGAAAAAATGTTGATCACGTGAATTATATTTCTATGTTTTGCTTCATTATAGTATTTGAGTTCAAGTAATACAAAAAAAGGTTAGGATAAAGACTAACCTGTAGACGTCATACAGTTCCTTACAAGACTTTATGGCTTTTAGGAAAAATGAAAGCTTGTTTGTTAAATCATCTATCCATTCTTGGTTTTTTTGTTGTTGTCGTTGTTGATGTTGTTTCTCGCTTAAGAGTCTTAGTATAACACTCAACTATTTTTAATCCATAACCACTGATTTCCCTGGACACTCTACGTGCAGTATAATGTTTGTGTCAGTAAATCCATAGGCACACCAAGCTTAGTTTTCGAAGAGGCAAAATATTCATGAAAGCGTGACGCATTGTCTGACGAACACTTCAAAATTTGAACTTGTTATAAGGAATAGTATGGGGCACGAAATATGGTGGATTTGCAAGACTGAATATTCCGAAATATGAACATTTTAGACGGCAAGATTAATGAAACTCGCTCATTCCTTGTGTGTTCGTTTTGGTCTGGCGATCTCTGCCGTTTTGGGCTTGCTTTACCATCAGTGTTATTCCTGTTTTGAGACGGAGTCAAAGCTGCACACACCATTTCGACCGTTGTCCGCGCGGAGTCCGTTTGCACTCAGAAATCCTTTCGATCAGCAATTTTTTCACCCATGACTTCATATCATAGCACCCTGGAAAATGTCTCAATTGCAAACTCCCCGCGCCTTTCGCTGAAAACGAGCGTTTTCTACCAGGATTTCCAAGATCGCTTCTTTCTGCCTATGGTTTTGATGTCAAAACAGGACACGGCCGTGGAAGAGGCTTGGGTCCAAGGTCAGTTTTCTCCCTAACTAGGGTATTACGGTCAATTTTGCGTTCGAATATCACAGGGTAAGAAAGCTAAATCAATTGACTATACCACCACGGGTAAAGAGAGAGTTGACCTTGGACCCAAGCCTCTGTTGAAAGCCTCTCCCTTCTTACGTTTAAAATGTTCATATTTCAGAATATTTAGCGCTGTAAATCGACCACATTCCCTTCCCCATACTATTTCTTATAAATCGTTCAAATTCTCAACGGTTCCTTGCGCAACTTAACACTGCGTCATACAACGCGTGGCGCTTTCATGAATCAATCTCTTTCATGAGGTTGAGACGCCTGTGGTAAAACTGGCGTCTAAAATTCACCGACAGGGAATAATAGAAGTAACAATTTATGATTGGCTTGCGCCTTTTTTGGAATCTTTCTTTTGGTGAGGAAGTAAACTTCTTTTTTATGATGCTTTTAAAATATTTTCGCATCTAGTAACTTCGGTCGATAGGTGGTTTGCAATCAATCTCTAGAGACACTGGTGACAATGGAACAAATGCTGGTCGACGAACAAAAGAAGCTAATGAGATATCTATTGTTTACGTCCACCAACATGGCGGCAATGACGTAACGTGCAAACCACCTATTGCGGCATTGTTTATCGATAATAAACACGTGGAACACACAATTGAAGAGTACTGTTCTCACATGCTCGTCGGTTATTATTCTTCCATTCACACTTTGTAATATTACGTATACGAGAACGATCCTTCGCAGTAAAGCACTATTTGAGCAATAGTGAAAATCAGACCTGAAAAAAAAAATTTCAGGCCTGTACGGGACTCGAACCACTGACCTCTGCGATACTAGTGCAGCGCTCTACCAATTGAGCTAACAAGCCAACTGGGAGCAGGCCATCAAATTAATTCGATATAAACCCGTAGATGATAAATCAAACAACAACAAACATATGAAACATATGTGTGAACTGCGGTTATGAGACGTATACGAGAACGATCCTTCGCAGTAAAGCACTATTTGAGCAATAGTGAAAATCAGACCTGAAAAAAAAAATTTCAGGCCTGTACGGGACTCGAACCACTGACCTCTGCGATACTAGTGCAGCGCTCTACCAATTGAGCTAACAAGCCAACTGGGAGCAGGTCATCAAATTAATTCGATATAAACCCGTAGATGATAAATCAAACAACAACAAACATATGAAACATATGTGTGAACTGCGGTTATGAGACGTATATGAGAACGATCCTTCGCAGTAAAGCACTATTTGAGCAATAGTGAAAATCAGACCTGAAAAAAA